GGACGGGGGGAGCCCCGGGGCTCGACCGGCCCCTCGCCCGCGCGCGGCCGCCCCTGCCTCCCTCCCTCCCGCCACCGCCGCCCCCACTTGTTGCGCCAAGAGACTTTCCTGGCGGGAGCCAGCCCGGAAAACCGTGGCCCGGTGTGACACCTCACAGCATGGCCACGGTCCCGCCACTGTGGTGCCGTCACCTCACAGCGTGGCTGCATCACCACCAGTGTGGTGGTGTCACCTCACAGCATGGCCATGGCCCTGCCTGCGTGGTGGTGTCACCACTGGTGGGGTGGTGTCACCTCACGGTGCGCTGAAGCCATCACCAACACGGTGGTGTCACCGCTCGGCCTGGTCGCAGGCGCAGGGAGGGCTGCGCTCAGGGCGGCAGGAAGAAACGCTGCCAAACTACCTGCCGTCACCCTCCCTCTGGGCCTTCCCTACGCAGCTGTTTGCAAAACACCAAGATTACTGCTAATATTTCACAAAGCGGTTGTGACAAATGCGGGAAGTCACCGGCACAGTGGGCTGAGCTGCTTCTTCACAGTAGTTGGGGAGGTGCAAAACCCCAACAGAAACCTCCTTGCTCGAGGGTGTGTGCGGCTGAGGGCCCCAAAACGTTGCCCTGTTATTTGCATTATCTACAGGGGTGCACAAGGCCGTTGTTATAGTTAAAAGGGTATTTATATCTACATTCAGACATAGAGCAGAAGTGTATATATGCAGAAGTCTATACATACATTCAGACATAGGGCAGAAGTGTCTGTTCGCATTAGGTGCTATGCAAGCAAGGATACATCATCCTTGTAGGTACCACAGCCTCCAGATGCTCCCTATTTTGTCGGATACTTTGTCAGAGTGCCTTTTTTTTCTCACCTTTTTATAGCCAAGTCTCACTTTTTTTTTTGTCACAGATCTTACAACATTTTATCAATATTCCTAGAAAGAGGTAACACCGCAGAAAATCTTGGATTGCATACTGGGATATACAGCATCCCTGTCTCCCTCTCCTCTCACCGTCACTAGGGTTAGCCAAGCAACTACGTTAGCAATTAAGCGCACTGCAGTTCCAATATGAAAATTCTCCTTCTCAGTGGTTTTGTGGGATTTTTTGTTGTTCTCTTCTGGAAAATCACTCTGCTTCTCTGCAGCAATCAAGTTACTGAATAAAAAATAACTACATGTGCTACTTCTCATGCCAGTATTGTTTGGACATCTGCAACTAGTCTTTCTCTGTTAGAAGTGGCTTCCAGCACTGACTAATAGAGATGAACTATTTATTATTCTAATTCCTATAAAACCTCTCTTAAACATTTCACATGCTTGGGCTATGTAAAAACTACATCATGTTAAACTATTCTCTACATCTGTGCTTTCTGCTTTCAATGTTGTTATATTTAATAAAAAGAATAAAGCATCTGGCTGCAACAGTTTACCTGTTGCTCTTTTAAAGAAATACTATGCTTGAAAATAACATCAAGGGCTTCAGAGATTTACAATTTTATCCAACCTGTTCTAAGATTCCAGTACCTTTTCATATATTCACTGCAGGTATATCGTGTTTCTGTAGTTTCTGGCACGTTTAGTAGCCTTTGCCTTGTCACACACAGTTGTGGCCTGGGTTACAGCTAGTTTTTTCACTTGCCATTCCAGTAGGTCATCACATTTTGTTGGGGATTTGTGCCTTTTTACCCCTTACAAGACTAAATCCTTTTATTTTGTGTTAGTACTGTAAGTTCTGTTACTACTTACCAATTAGTAAAAAATTCTCCATCTACGTATCTATCTACCTCACTTCCTATCTTGCTTACCTCTTGTGCCTTTATAGTGATGCCATCTTCAAAGCCACATTTCTCAACTGCATTGTAAATATTCCCTTTTTCTGCTTTTCTCCTTCTTCCATGACGCCTACAAGAATCCAGCTGATTAAGCCATCTAATACTCATTCAGTTTATCCTCTGAGCTAAATGCTCATCCATATAAGGGAAGCTGAGGAGCGGGTGATGAATGTTTACAGCAGAAGAGACGCTGGAATTGAATTTGCAAATCTATGTGAGATAGTTTCAGCAAAAAAAAAAAAAAAAGCATGGAAGAAAGGAGAATGGATGTGTATTTATACAGCAAAATTCTGGTCCCACTGAAACAAACTATAAACGTGGCAATTAATCAAGATTTCACCTAGAGCATTTAATTATAGAAGAACAAAAGCCATCAGCAGTCAGTGTGTTACTAACACAATGTCATAGCATCCTCTTGCTCATTTGTGGTTTCAGAATGTTACTCCTCTTCATGCAGTTTTGCCTTTTTATTACATTAAATTCTATAAAATTCTATTAAAGATTCTGTGTGAATCTGTAAAGTCATTTTAGCGTGGTTCTGGATGGCTTTGTAAAAAGTCTGGCATGTCTTTGACATTGTGATATTACTTTGAGTTCTGAATTCATTTCCTTCCATCACTGATATATTTAGATGTTTGTTTCATTGGTTGTTTCATTTTTAAGAACAGTTGATAATTAACAGTTTGTGTAGTCCAGCAGCTAGTTCTAGTGCTTTGGGAATGCTTACCGACATAGTAAAGCACAGTGATGCTTTAGCCTGTACTTTGTCCCAAACTCAGCTCATGGAGTTGCTGTGGAAAAACAATAGTAACCACAGAGTATCTTCCCCAAGAATTTTCCTGAGCACTTTTGGCATCCACAAAATTCTATGGCAGTAACTTACATAATTTAATTAATCACTGCATGAAAATTAGTATCTTTCATTTGGTTCAGGCTTGCGGTCTGATAATTCTCTCTTTTCTTAAATCATTGGTGGATGATTTTCCCCTGTTCACCTATTCATGCCATTCATGAATGCATATGCCTTCATCATCTCACCCTCATTTATTTTTCAAGAGTTCTAGTCAATTTATTCCCTCCTCAGCTGGCAGTCATTCCATATTTTTAGTAATTTGTATTGCCTTTTTTTCTGTATCTTTCCTAACTCTTCTCTAGAAGATCATAATGGTCCTCATTATTTAAGATACAGGTCTACAGTGGTTTTATACAGATGCATAATAAATGTTTCCCGGTTTATTTCTATTTTTGTATTACCTTTCTAATAATAACAATCTAATTGCCCCTTTGAATGCTGCAGAGCCTGGAGCGGCTGTTTTCACAGAACTTCCCACAACTCAAGCACTTTTTTTTTTCTGGAGTGGTAATTGCTCATTTAGATTCTGGTATTTTGCGAGGACAGTTTGAGCTGGTTTCTCCCTCGCACATTGCTTTCCATTTATCAACACAGAATTTAACTTGACGTTTTATCAGTCAGTTGCAGAGCACCATGAGAGCCTTCCCCAGTTCTTCATGGTCAGCTTTTGTTTTTGCCATGAATAATTCAGCACCATCAGCAAACTCTGTCGCCTCGATAAT